TGCAGCAGCAACCACAGCCTCCCAGACACTGTTCAGAGAGGTGTACTGTCTTCCTTCACTGTAAACCTCCCGTTTAAGCAGGGCCCACAGGTTCTCAGTAGGGTTTAGGTCAGGTGAGGAAGGGGGCCATGTCATTATTTTTTCATCCTTAAGGCCTTTACTGGCTAGCCATGCAGTGGAGTACTTCAATGCATGCGATGGAGCATTGTCCTGCATAAAAACCATGGTCTTCTTGAAAGATGCAGACTTTTTCCTGTTCCACTTCTTGAAGAAAGTGTCTTCTAAAAACTGGCAGTAGGTTTGGGAGTTGATTTTAGGCCATTTTCAACCCGAAAAGGTCCAACTAGCTCATCTTTAATAATACCAGCCAATACCAGTACCCCACCTCCCCCTTGCTGGCGTCTGAGTCGAAGTGGAGCTCTGTGTCCGTTACTGATCCAGCCACGGGCCCATCCATCTGGTCCATCAAGAGTCACTCTCATCTCATCAGTCAACCTTTGAAAAATCTGTCTTCAGATATTTCTTGGCCCAGTCTTGACGTTTCAACTTGTGTGTTTTGTTCAGTGGTGGTCGGGTTTCAGCCTTCCTTACCTTGGCCATGTCTCTAAGCACTGAACACCTTGTACTTCTGGGCACTCTGGGTAGGTTGCAGTTCTGGAATATAGCAGCACTGGAGGATAATGGGTTCCTGGTAGCTGTTGGCAGTTCATTTGCGTCTTTTTTTCTCAATACGTTTCTTGCGACCCTGTTGGTTATTTGCAACAAATGTTTGATGTTTCTGTGGTCACGCCCCAATATCTTAACAATTTCAAGAGTGCTGCATCCCTCTGAAAGACTTTTTACAATTTTTGACTTTTCAGAGTCCATTAAATCTCTTTTTTGGCCCATTTTGCCTGAGGAAGAGAAGCTGCCTAATAATTATGCACACCTTGATATAGAGTGTTGATCTCCTTAGGCCACACCCTCACTCATTACGCAAATACACATCACCTGGTATGCTTAAATCCAATAAGCACTCAAGTTTATACAGCTTGAAGTTGGAAAATATGCATAAAAATTATGATATGGCCAGACACAACTCTCTCTCTCTCTCTCTCTCTCTCTCTCCCAACCATCTTGTCGGTGATTGGCTGGAACTGGTTTGTTGTATTTTGGTGCACAGCCTGTGCCCCTAGTGTTTGCTTGATGTTTACGAGCCCTGTGTTGTCTCCCTAATGTATATATATTATTATTATGTATGTATTGTAATGGCAATTTTTAAGAACCTATACAACCTTTGACCTGGTCATAGTAAAACCATACGCAACTGTTGAAGAGGCTATTATATGCATACAACCTTTAACCCTGTTTGTAACTACACTCTATGTCCAGGTAAACAGCGGGATGTTGAGACTTCACTAAGAAGCCAAGGACATGATCATCTCACCACACTATCTGTCTGTTTACTGTAACTCAGGAATGTGTAACTGTGTTAGAGTGACTCTCCAACAGAGATAAAACCATACTGCTTCTGCCAATCAGGGCTCTTTCAGACTTTCACATACGAGAGACCATTCATGGATGACTTGAATAAAACCTTACAGAAAGACAAGATTATACTTTGTATGCTTTATTAAACAAATTGTCACCACAGTATATTATTAATATGGCTGTAGATCTTTGGATCAATGAGTTTGGCTCCAGTCTGGGGGATCAGATCTGATCACTGACACTCACTGACCAGCAGAGGGCGCTGACATACTGTAACTACATTAAGTTCTGAGTTTAGCAGAGAACCAATAAAAAAGATATAAATCTACATTATACATTCTATATCATACATTATACAGCTGTACCTTTACTATTGAATCAGATCAGTGTGAGTGGGAGACAATAATGGACACACAGGTCTCAGTAGTTAATGACTGCATACTGTTTACTGAACACTGAATCATTACTCAGTGAGGACCTGCCGACTACCTTATCTCCCTGACTGCTTCACCCTTACTGACTGCTTCACTCTCCCTGACTGCTTCACCCTTACTGACTGCTTCACTCTCCCTGACTGCTTCACCCTTACTGACTGCTTCACCCTCACTGACTGCTTCACTCTCCTGACTACTTCACCCTTACTGACTGCTTCACTCTAACTGACGATTCACCCTTACTGACTGCTTCACCCTTACTGACTGCTTCACTCTCCCTGACTGCTTCACCCTTACTGACTGCTTCACCCTCACTGACTGCTTCACTCTCCCTGACTGCTTCACTCTCCCTGACTACTTCACCCTTACTGACTGCTTCACTCTAACTGACTGATTCACCCTTACTGACTGCTTCACCCTCACTGACTGCTTCACCCTCACTGACTGCTTCAGTCTCCCTGACTGCTTCACCCTTACTGACTGCTTCACTCTCACTGACTGCTTCACTCTCCCTGACTGCTTCAATCTCACTGACTGCTTCACCCTTACTGACTGCTTCACTCTCCCTGACTGCTTCACCCTCACTGACTGCTTCACCCTTACTGACTGCTTCACTCTCCCTGACTGCTTCACCCTTACTGACTGCTTCACTCTCCCTGACTGCTTCAATCTCACTGACTGCTTCACCCTTACTGACTGCTTCACTCTCCCTGACTGATTCACCCTCACTGACTGCTTCACCCTTACTGACTGCTTCAGTCTCACTGACTGCTTCACCCTTACTGACTGCTTCACTCTCCCTGACTGATACACCCTTACTGACTGCTTCACCCTTACTGACTGCTTCAGTCTCACTGACTGCTTCACCCTTACTGACTGCTTCACTCTCACTGACTGCTTCACCCTTACTGACTGCTTCACCCTTACTGACTGCTTCACTCTCACTGACTGCTTCACCCTTACTGACTGCTTCACTCTCCCTGACTGCTTCACTCTCCCTGACTGCTTCAATCTCACTGACTGCTTCACCCTTACTGACTGCTTCACTCTCCCTGACTGATTCACCCTTACTGACTGCTTCACCCTTACTGACTGCTTCACTCTCCCTGACTGCTTCACCCTCACTGACTGCTTCACCCTTACTGACTGCTTCAATCTCACTGACTGCTTCACCCTTACTGACTGCTTCACTCTCCCTGACTGCTTCACCCTTACTGACTGCTTCACTCTCCCTGACTGCTTCACTCTTACTGACTGCTTCACTCTCCCTGACTGCTTCACCCTCACTGACTGCTTCACCCTTACTGACTGCTTCAGTCTCACTGACTGCTTCACCCTTACTGACTGCTTCACTCTCCCTGACTGATACACCCTTACTGACTGCTTCACCCTTACTGACTGCTTCAGTCTCACTGACTGCTTCACCCTTACTGACTGCTTCACCCTTACTGACTGCTTCACTCTCACTGACTGCTTCACCCTTACTGACTGCTTCACTCTCCCTGACTGCTTCACCCTCACTGACTGCTTCACCCTCACTGACTGCTTCACCCTTACTGACTGCTTCAGTCTCACTGACTGCTTCACTCTCACTGACTGCTTCACCCTTACTGACTGCTTCACTCTCCCTGACTGCTTCACCCTTACTGACTGTTTCATCCTTACTGACTGCTTCACCCTTACTGACTGCTTCACCCTCACTGACTGCTTCACTCTCCCTGACTGCTTCACCCTCACTGACTGCTTCAGTCTCACTGACTGCTTCACCCTTACTGACTGCTTCACTCTCACTGACTGCTTCACCCTTACTGACTGCTTCACTCTCCCTGACTGCTTCACCCTCACTGACTGCTTCACCCTTACTGACTGCTTCAGTCTCACTGACTGCTTCACTCTCACTGACTGCTTCACCCTTACTGACTGCTTCACCCTTACTGACTGCTTCACCCTTACTGACTGCTTCACCCTCACTGACTGCTTCACCCTTACTGACTGCTTCAGTCTCACTGACTGCTTCAAAAAGTTGATATGTAACAATCAATATAAAGTGGATATATAATGATCAATATAAAGTGGATATATAATGATCAATATAAAGTGGATATATAATGATCAATATAAAGTGGATATATAATGATCAATATACAATCGATATATAGCGATCAATATACAATCGATATATAATGATCAATATAAAGTGGATATATAATGATCAATATAAAGTGGATATATAATGATCAATATACAATCGATATATAACGATCAATATACAATCGATATATAATGATCAATATAAAGCGGATATATAATGATCAATATAAAGTGGTTATATAATGATCAATATACAATCGATATATAATGATCAATATAAAGTGGATATATAATGATCAATATACAATCAATATATAATGATCAATATAAAGTGGATATATAATGATCAATATACAATCAATATATAATGATCAATATAAAGTGGTTATATAATGATCAATATACAATCAATATATAATGATCAATATACAATCAATATATAATGATCAATATAAAGTGGTTATATAATGATCAATATAAAGTGGATATATAATGATCAATATACAATCAATATATAATGATCAATATAAAGTGGTTATATAATGATCAATATACAATCGATATATAATGATCAATATAAAGTGGATATATAATGATCAATATAAAGTGGATATATAATGATCAATATACAATCAATATATAATGATCAATATAAAGTGGTTATATAATGATCAATATAAAGTGGATATATAATGATCAATATACAATCGATATATAATGATCAATATAAAGCGGATATATAATGATCAACATAAAGTGGTTATATAATGATCAATATACAATCGATATATAATGATCAATATAAAGTGGTTATATGTTCTGATGCTTCCTGTCAACTGATTGGTCCTCAGTAACCACGTGCACACGCACCTGTAACAACATATACACGTCATTAACGAGGGCGTGAGGAACACGTGACTGACGTCATCACATCCGTTCACGAACGTCTGTCGTCACACAGTCGGGGGGCGGGGTCAGTCCGGATGAAGCTGCTCTGTGATTGGTGGAGTGACGTCAGAGGCGGGGAGGAGGTCTACCGCAGTGACAGCGACCTGTCTCTCTCTCTGTGTCTGTCTCTCTCTTTCTGTCTCTCTCTTTCTGTCTCTCTCTCTGTCTCTCTCTCTGTCTGTCTGTCTGTCTGTTGTACCATCCTGCCATCACCCGCCGGATTATCGATACTCTGATCGATTATTAACTGCACGTTCCAGCGGCGGGAGGCTCGCGCGCTCAGACCGACACAGACCGACCTCCATCTTCATCCTCTCATCCTCTTCATCCTCTCATCATCTTCATCCTCTCATCATCTTCATCCTCTCATCCTCTTCATCATGTCCGGAACCAAGGACGAGGACCGCAAAGCCTCCAGCGAGTGGCGGGAATTCTTCTGGAACCCGCGAACGCACGAGCTCATGGGCCGAACCGCCTCGAGCTGGGGTGAGTCATAGTCTGTCTGTCTCTCTTTCTGTCTGTCTGTCTGTCTGTCTGTCTGTCTCTGTTTCTCTCTCTCTCTCTGCCTGTCTGTCTGTCTGTCTGTCTCTCTCTCTCTGTTTCTCTCTCTCTGTGTCTGTCTCTCTCTCTCTGTGTCTGTCTCTCTCTCTCTGTCTGTCTGTCCCTCTCTATCTCTGTCTCTCTCTCTCGCTCTCTGTCTGTCTCTCTCTGTGTCTGTCTCTCTCTATCTTTGTCTCTATCTCTCTGTCTGTCTCTCTCTCTCTCTCTGTCTGTCTCTCTCTCTCTCTCTCTGTCTTGTCTGTCTCCTCTCTCTCTGTCTCTCTCTCTGTCTGTCTCTCTCTCTCTCTGTCTCTCTCTCTGTCTCTCTCTATGTCTGTCTCTCTGTATTGTATTTATAGTATATAAAGTAATATTTATAGTATACAAAGTAGTATTTATAGTATATAAAGTAATATTTATAGTATATAAAGTAGTATTTATAGTATATAAAGTAATATTTATAGTATATAAAGTAGAATTATGGTATATAAAGTAGTATTTATAGTATATAAAGTAATATTTATAGTATATAAAGTAATATTTATAGTATATAAAGTAATATTTATGGTATACAAAGTAGTATTTATAGTATATAAAGTAATATTTATAGTATATAAAGTAGAATTATGGTATATAAAGTAGTATTTATAGTATATAAAGTAATATTTATAGTATATAAAGTAATATTTATGGTATACAAAGTAGTATTTATAGTATATAAAGTAATATTTATAGTATATAAAGTAATATTTATGGTATACAAAGTAGTATTTATAGTATATAAAGTAATATTTATAGTATATAAAGTAATATTTATGGTATACAAAGTAGTATTTATAGTATATAAAGTAATATTTATAGTATATAAAGTAATATTTATAGTATATAAAGTAGTATTTATGGTATATAAAGTAGTAGTATTTATAGTATATAAAGTAATATTTATAGTATATAAAGTAGTATTTATGGTATATAAAGTAATATTTATGGTTTATAAAGTAGTATTTATAGTATATAAAGTAATATTTATGGTTTATAAAGTAGTATTTATAGTATATAAAGTAATATTTATAGTATATAAAGTAGTATTTATAGTTTATAAAGTAATATTTATGGTATATAAAGTAGTATTTATAGTATATAAAGTAATATTTATAGTATATAAAGTAGTATTTATGGTATTTATGGTATATAAAGTAGTAGTATTTATAGTATATAAAGTAATATTTATAGTATATAAAGTAGTATTTATGGTATATAAAGTAGTATTTATAGTATATAAAGTAATATTTATGGTATATAAAGTAATATTTATGGTATATAAAGTAGTATTTATAGTATATAAAGTAATATTTATAGTATATAAAGTAGTATTTATAGTATATAAAGTAATATTTATAGTATATAAAGTAGTATTTATAGTTTATAAAGTAATATTTATGGTATATAAAGTAGTATTTATAGTATATAAAGTAATATTTATAGTATATAAAGTAGTATTTATGGTATATAAAGTAGTATTTATAGTATATAAAGTAATATTTATAGTATATAAAGTAATATTTATGGTATATAAAGTAATATTTATAGTATATAAAGTAATATTTATGGTATATAAAGTAGTATTTATAGTATATAAAGTAATATTTATGGTATATAAAGTAATATTTATGGTATATAAAGTAGTATTTATAGTATATAAAGTAATATTTATAGTATATAAAGTAGTATTTATGGTATATAAAGTAGTATTTATAGTATATAAAGTAATATTTATGGTATATAAAGTAATATTTATGGTATATAAAGTAGTATTTATGGTATTTATGGTATATATTCATTTCATTCATTCATTCGGGCCCCGCTCCGGTTCTGTGGCTCATTCGGGCCCCGCTCCGGTTCTGTGGTTCTTGGAGCCCCGCCCTGGTTCTGTAGACCCTTCTGGCTACGCTACAAGGTCTAAAGACTGTAGCTCAGAAAGACTTATATGTGAAATGTGTCAGTTATTGTTATTATATACAATCGCAATCTTGAGGTCAGACCTGACCTTTGACCCTTAAGTTAAGGTAGTCTGCCTTTGCATAATAATAATAATAATAATAATAATAATAATAATAATAACAGTAGTTAGCCTGAGCTGAACCTTTATTACTACTGTTTGAAACTCTGTGATTGGTTGCTCTTTAAGGTGAAGTTCCTGTTTAGAGTTACAGTCAGACGCTCACTGATGGTTCGCTGAGTCCAGACCTTCATGAACTCTGATCACATGGTCTGAATCTGGAACTTTCTGCACTTGTACTTCCTCAGTGAATTCCTCCGTAAAGGTTTCATTCAGTGAACCAGGACAGGATGAGGATCAGGGACCTGGTCCTGGTGTGATCCTGTTTACAGTTTAATCTGCAGCGGAGGGTGCGTTTGATGGCATTAACTCTGCAGGAGGAAATCTTTAACAGGTTCAACCCTCAAACACACCACGTACACCTCTGATCCTCCTGGAGGAGGTTCCAGGATCCTGGAAGAAGTTTCAGGTCCTGGAGGAGGTTCCAGGTCCTGGAGGAGGTTCCAGGATCCTGGAAGAAGTTTCAGGTCCTGGAGGAGGTTCCAGGATCCTGGAAGAAGTTTCAGGTCCTGGAAGAAGTTTCAGGTCCTGGAGGAGGTTCCAGGTCCTGGAGGAGTTTCCAGGTCCTGGAGGAGGTTCCAGGATCCTGGAAGAAGTTTCAGGTCCTGGAGGAGGTTCCAGGATCCTGGAAGAAGTTTCAGGTCCTGGAAGAAGTTTCAGGTCCTGGAGGAGGTTCCAGGTCATGGAGGAGGTTCCAGGTCCTTCAGGAGGTTCCAGGTCCTGGAGGAAGTTCATCAATACCGTTGCTATGGTTACCTATAGTTTAATATTTAGAAGAGAGCTTAAACTGTCCGAGCTAATAGCCAATCAGAGAGCAGGATTCTCTGTTGCAGAGTAAAAGGTTTTACTGATCAAATGTTCAAACTACAGTAAAAATAATCAATAAGAAGATGAGACGGAGAGAGAGAGAGATTATACCCTCCCCCCTGCTGTTCTCCCCCTGCTCCTCCCCCTCCCTCAGTGAATGTAGGTCATCAGCAGGGGGCGGGGCTAAACACAAGAGGATTATAAAGATGACATTTAGAGGAGAGGAGTGGGGGAGGAGAGGCTGCACTGTATAATATAATAACTCTTGCTCTCTCTCACTGTCTCTCCCTGACTCCTCCCTCCCCCCTTCCTCCTCCTCCCACCAGGTCTCATCCTGCTCTTCTACCTGGTCTTCTACCTGTTTCTGGCGGGAATGTTTGTTCTCACCATGTACATCATGCTGCTGACGCTGGACGACTACAAACCCACCTGGCAGGACCGCCTGGCCACTCCAGGTGAGGACAGAGACAAAGGGCCACCAGCTATACAGTGATTGATACTGTACTGATAATAATATAATATCATAATAATATAATATAATAATAAATCACACTCGTTATGTTTCAGGTATGATTGATCAGTTCATGAGGCTCAGGCTGTGTTCTGGTTAACGAGGCTCAGGCTGTTTCTGCTTAACGAGGCTCAGGCTGTGATTGGTTAACGAGGCTCAGGCTGTGACTGGTTAACGAGGCTCAGGCTGTGATTGGTTAACGAGGCTCAGGCTGTTTCTGGTTAACAAGGCTCAGGCTGTTTCTGCTTAACGAGGCTCAGGCTTTGATTGGTTAACGAGGCTCAGGCTGTGATTGGTTAACAAGGCTCAGGCTGTGATTGGTTAACGAGGCTCAGGCTGTTTCTGGTTAACGAGGCTCAGGCTGTGATTGGTTAACGAGGCTCAGGCTGTGATTGGTTAACGAGGCTCAGGCTGTGATTGGTTAACGAGTCTCAGGCTGTTTCTGGTTAATGAGGCTCAGGCTGTGATTGGTTAACAAGGCTCAGGCTGTGATTGGTTAACGAGGCTCAGGCTGTTTCTGGTTAACGAGGCTCAGGCTGTGATTGGTTAACGAGGCTCAGGCTGTGATTGGTTAACTAGGCTCAGGCTGTTTCTGGTTAACGAGGCTCAGGCTGTTTCTGCTTAACGAGGCTCAGGCTGTGATTGGTTAACGAGGCTCAGGCTGTGATTGGTTAAGGAGTCTCAGGCTGTTTCTGGTTAACGAGGCTCAGGCTGTTTCTGCTTAACGAGGCTCAGGCTGTGATTGGTTAAGGAGTCTCAGGCTGTTTCTGGTTAACGAGGCTCAGGCTGTGATTGGTTAACTAGGCTCAGGCTGTGATTGGTTAACTAGGCTCAGGCTGTTTCTGGTTAACTAGGCTCAGGCTGTTTCTGGTTAACGAGGCTCAGGCTGTGATTGGTTAACGAGCAGATGTCGTTATGTTTCAGGGATGATGATTCGTCCGAAGGGCGATCAGCTGGAGATCAGTTTCTCGGTCTCAGACACTGAGAGTTGGGACGGCTTCATCCAAAACCTCAACACCTTCCTCTCTCGTAAGATGCTTGTTAATTAATGATAACATTTGATGATGTCATAGATTCAACATCCTGATCAATATCTGTCTGTCTACCTGTCTGTCTGCAGCGTACAACGACAGCTACCAGGTTCAGACCAACGATAACTGTCCTCCAGATCAATACTTCATTCAGGAGGACAGTGGAGAGGTAGACCTGCCTGTCTCATTCTCCACCTGTCTAATTCTGCACCTGTCTCACTCTGTACCTGTCTGTCCTTCTGCCTGTGTCACTCTCCACCTGTCTCAGTCTCCACCTGTGTGTCCCTCTGTCTGTCTCACTCTCTACCTGTCTTACTATCCACCTTTCTCACTCTCCACCTTCCTCGTTCTCTACTTGTCTCATTTTCTACCTGTCTGTCCCTCTATCTGTCTCACTCTCCACCTGTCTGTCCCTCTACCTGTCTCACTCGCCACCTGTCTGTCCCTCTTTCTGTCTCACACTCCACCTGTCTCACTCTCTGCCTGTCTGTCTCTCCTCAGGTCAGGAACAATCCCAAGCGTTCCTGTCAGTTTAATCGGACCATGCTGGAGGACTGTTCTGGGATTTCGGATCGTTTCTATGGTTACAACAGAGGTCAGCCCTGCGTCCTCATCAAACTGAACCGGGTACGTTGACCTCTGACCTCTGATCCAAACTGACTGCAGCACAGGTTTCAACCTGACGACTGAACACAAATGATGTTTCTACAGTGTGTTGGTGGACATACTTCCTGTTAGCAGCTATAAGCATGTTTGACTTCCTCTGTTGTCGCATTTCACTGTGAGCTGATAAAATGCAGCAGAAGGAAATAACTTTAAACCTGTTTTTAAACTTTTATATTTTAATTGACAGCAACAGTCAGTCTGTACAGTTCATTCTATACAACACATACGTACTAACAGTTGTCTATCTGTCTGCCTGTTTGTCTGTCTGCCTGTCTGTCTGTCTGTCTGTCCAGGTAATCGGGATGTTGCCGGGGAAGGACGGTCAGTCTCCATATGTCACCTGTGGAGCCAAGGTCTGAATCTGTCTGCTTGACTGACTGTCTGTCTCACTGTCTGTTACACCATCTGTCTCCATCTCATGTGTTGTCTCCATGTCCTCGTCCCTCCTTCTTCAGAGGTACAAAGTGGATAAAGACGAGTGGGTAAGAACAGTAGAAAATAAGATTGTAGAACGTAAAACCTTTAATTCCTCATAAGTTTAATTGGTCCCGATCGAGTTAGACAAATCCTGATATATTGATTATCTGCTGATACCAAGTCTGATCCACAGTAGTGCAGTAAATAAACAAAGTAGTGAGCAGTAAAGAAACGCAGGAGGGGGCACTAAATAAACGCAGTGAGAGCATTAAGAAATGCAATAGAGAGCAGTAAATAAACGCAGTAGAGGGCAGGAAAGAAACGCAGTAGAGAGTAGTTAATAAGCGCAGTAGAGCGCAGTAAATAAAGGCAGTAGAGGGCAGTAAAGAAACACAGTAGAGTGCAGTAAATAAACGCAGTAGACTGCAGTAAATAAACGCAGTAGAGTGCAGTAAATAAACGCAGTAGAGTGCAGTAAATAAACGCAGTAGAGCGCAGTAAATAAAAGCAGTAGAGTGTAGTAAATAAACGCAGTACAGAGCAGTAAAGAAATGCAGTATAGAGCAGTAAAGAAACGCAGTAGTGTGCAGTAAATAAATGCAGTAGAGAGCAGTAAATAAATGCAATAGAGCGCAGTAAATAAACGCAGAAGAGGGCAGTAAAGAAACGCAGTAAATAAATGCAGAAGAGCGCAGTTAAGAAACACAGCAAAGAAACGCAGTAAATAAACGCAGTAGAGAGCAATAAATAAATGCAGTATAGAGCAGTAAATAAACGCAGTAGAGAGCAGTAAATAAATGCAATAGAGAGCAGTAAATAAACGCAGTGGAGAGCAGTAAATAAATGCAGTAGAGTGTAGTAAATAAACGCAGTAGAGAGAAATAAAGAAACGCCGTAAATAAACGCAGTAGAGGGCAGTAAATAAACACAGTAGAGAGCAGGAAATAAACGCAGTAGAGCGCAGTTAATAAAAGCAGTAAATAAACGCAGTAGGGTGTAGTAAATAAACTCAGTATTGTGCAGTAAATAAACGCAGTAGAGAGCAGTAAATAAATGTAGTAGAGAGCTGTAAAGAAACGCAGTAGAGAGCAGTAAAGAAACGCAGTAGAGTGTAGTAAATAAACTCAGTAGAGTGTAATAAATGAACTCAGTAGAGAGCAGTAAATAAATGCAGTAGAGGGCAGTAAAGAAACGCAGTAGAGTGTAGTAAATAAATGCAGTAGAGTGTAGTAAATAAACTCAGTAGAGAGCAGTAAATGAACGCAGTAAAGAGCAGTAAATAAACGCAGTATAGAGCAGTAAATAAACGCAGTATAGAGCAGTAAATAAACGCAGTAGAGAGCAGTAAATAAACGCAGTGGAGAGCAGTAAATAAAAGCAGTAGAATGTAGTAAATAAACGCAGTAGAGAGCAGTAAATATACGCCGTAGAGAGCAGTAAATAAAAGCAGTATAGAGCAGTAAATAAACGCAGTAGAGAACGGTAAATAAACGCAGTAGAGTGTAGTAAATAAACTCAGTATTGTGCAGTAAATAAACGCCGTCGAGAGCGGTAAATAAACGCAGTAGAGTGTAGTAAATAAACTCAGTATTGTGCAGTAAATAAACGCAGTAGAGAGCAGTAAATAAACGCAGTGAAGAGCAGTAAATAAATGTAGTAGAGAGCAGTAAATAAACGCAGTAGAGGGCAGTAAATAAAAGCAGTAGAATGTAGTAAATAAACGCAGTAGAGAGCAGTAAATAAACGCAGTAGAGAACAGTAAATAAACGCAGTAGAGTGTAGTAAATAATCGCAGTAGAGTGTAATAAACTCAGTAGAGAGCAGTAAATAAACGCAGTAGAGGGCAGTAAAGAAACGCAGTAGAGTGTAGTAAATAAATGCAGTAGAGTGTAGTAAATAAACTCAGTAGAGAGCAGTAAATAAACGCCATAGAGAGCAGTAAATAAAGGCAGTAGAGAACAGAAAATAAACGCTGTAGACAGCTGTAAATAAACGCAGTAGAGAGAGGTAAAGAAACGCAGTAGAGAGCGGTAAAGAAATGCAGTAGAGAGCGGTAAAGAAACGCTATAGAGCAGTAAATAAACGCTGTAGAGAGCAGTAAATAAACGCAGTATAGAGCAGTAAAGAAACCTAGTACAGAGCAGTAAATAAATGCAATAGAGCAGTAAATAAAAGCAGTAGAGAGCAGTAAATAAACGCAGTATAGAGCAGTAAATAAAAGCAGTAGAGAGCAGTAAATAAACGCAGTAGAGAGCAGTAAATAAAAGCAGTAGAGAGCAGTAAATAAACGCAGTATAGAGCAGTAAATAAACGCAGTGGAGAGCAGTAAATAAAAGCAGTAGAATGTAGTAAATAAACTCAGTAGAGAGCAGTAAATATACGCCGTAGAGAGCAGTAAATAAAAGCAGTATAGAGCAGTAAATAAACGCAGTAGAGAGCAGTAAATAAACGCAGTGGAGAGCAGTAAATAAAAGCAGTAGAATGTAGTAAATAAACGCAGTAGAGAGCAGTAAATATACGCAGTAGAGAGCAGTAAAGAAACGCAGTAGAGAGCAGTAAATAAACGCAGTAGAGAACAGTTAATAAACACCGTAGAGAGCAGTAAATAAACGCAGTATACAGCAGTAAATAAACGCAGTAGAGAACGGTAAATAAACGCAGTAGAGTGTAGTAAATAAACTCAGTATTGTGCAGTAAATAAACGCAGTAGAGAGCAGTAAATAAACGCAGTGAAGAGCAGTAAATAAATGTAGTAGAGAGCAGTAAATAAACGCAGTAGAGGGCAGTAAATAAAAGCAGTAGAATGTAGTAAATAAACGCAGTAGAGAGCAGTAAATAAACGCAGTAGAGTACAGTAAATAAACGCAGTAGAGTGTAGTAAATAATCGCAGTAGAGTGTAATAAACTCAGTAGAGAGCAGTAAATAAACGCAGTAGAGGGCAGTAAAGAAACGCAGTAGAGTGTAGTAAATAAATGCAGTAGAGTGTAGTAAATAAACTCAGTAGAGAGCAGTAAATAAACGCCATAGAGAGCAGTAAATAAAGGCAGTAGAGGGCAGTAAAGAAACGCCGTAGAGAGCAGTAAATAAACGCAGTATACAGCAGTAAATAAATGCAGTAGAGAACAGTAAATAAACGCTGTAGACAGCGGTAAATAAACGCAGTAGAGAGCGGTAAAGAAACGCAGTAGAGAGCGGTAAAGAAATGCAGTAGAGAGCAGTAAAGAAACGCTATAGAGCAGTAAATAAACGCTGTAGAGAGCAGTAAATAAACGCAGTATAGAGCAGTAAAGAAACCTAGTACAGAGCAGTAAATAAATGCAATAGAGCAGTAAATAAAAGCAGTAGAGAGCAGTAAATAAACGCAGTATAGAGCAGTAAATAAAAGCAGTAGAGAGCAGTAAATAAACGCTGTAGAGAGCAGTAAATAAAAGCAGTAGAGAGCAGTAAATAAACGCAGTATAGAGCAGTAAATAAAAGCAGTACAGAGCAGTAAATAAACGCTGTAGAGAGCAGTAACTAAACGCAGTATAGAGCAGTAAAGAAACACAGTAGAGAGCTGTAAAGAAACGCACTAGAGAGCGGTAAAGAAACGCAATAGAGCAGTAAATAAACGCTGTAGAGAGCAGTAAATAAACGCAGTATATAGCAGTTAAGAAATGCAATAGAGCAGTAAATAAAAGCAGTAGAGAGCCGTAAATAAATGCAGTAGAGTGTAGTAAATAAACGCAGTAGAGTGTAGTACATAAACACAGTAGAGAGAAATAAAGAAACGCTGTAGAGAGCAGTAAATAAAGCAGTATAGAGTGTAGTAAATGAACGCAGTAGAGAGCAGTAAATAAACGCCGTAGAGAGCAGTAAATAAACGCAGCAGAGCGCAGTTAATGAACGCAGTAAATAAACGCAGTAGAGTGCAGTTAATAAATGCAGTAAATAAACGCAGTAAATAAACACAGTAGAGAGCAGTAAATAAACGCAGTATATAAACACAGTAGAGAGCAGTAAATAAACACAGTAGAGAGCATTGAATGAACGCAGTATAGAGCAGTAAATAAACGCAGTAGGGTGTAGTAAATAAATTCAGTAGAGTGCAATAAATATACGCAGTAGAGTGCAGTAAATAAACGCAGTAGAGCACAGTTAATAAACCCAGTACATAAACGCAGTAGAGTATAGTAAATAAACTCAGTAGAGTGTAGTAAATAAATACAGTAGAGAGCAGTAAAGAAACGCTGTAGAGAGCAGTAAATAAAGCAGTATAGAGTGTAGTAAATGAACGCAGTAGAGAGCAGTAAATAAACGCCGTAGAGAGCAGTAAATAAATACAGCAGAGTGTAGTAAATAAACTCAGTAGAGGGCAGTAAATAAACGCAGTAGAGTGTGGTAAATAAACTCAGTATTGTGCAGTAAATAAACGCAGTAGAGAGCAGTAAATAAACGCAGTGAAGAGCAGTAAATAAATGTAGTAGAGAGCAGTAAATAAACGCAGTAGAGGGCAGTAAATAAACGCAGTGGAGAGCAGTAAATAAAAGCAGTAGAATGTAGTAAATAAACGCAGTAGAGAGCAGTAAATAAACGCAGTGAAGAGCAGTAAATAAATGTAGTAGAGAGCAGTAAATAAACGCAGTAGAGGGCAGTAAATAAAAGCAGTAGAATGTAGTAAATAAACGCAGTAGAGAGCAGTAAATAAACGCAGTAGAGAACAGTAAATAAACGCAGTAGAGTGTAGTAAATAATCGCAGTAGAGTGTAATAAATAAACTCAGTAGAGAGCAGTAAATAAACGCAGTAGAGGGCAGTAAAGAAACGCAGTAGAGAGCAGTAAGTAAACGCAGTAGAGTAGTAAATAATCGCAGTAGAGTGTAATAAATAAACTCAGTAGAGAGCAGTAAATAAACGCAGTAGAGGGCAGTAAAGAAAGGCAGTAGAGAGCAGTAAATAAATGCAGTAGAGTGTAGTAAATAAACTCAGTAGAGAGCAGTAAATAAACGCAGTAGAGGGCAGTCAAGAAACGCCGTAGAGAGCAGTAAATAAACGCAGTATACAGCAGTAAATAAACGCAGTAGAGAACAGTAAAGAAACGCAGTAGAGAGCGGTAAAGAAATGCAGTAGAGAGCAGTAAAGAAACGCTATAGAGCAGTAAATAAACGCTGTAGAGAGCAGTAAATAAACGCAGTATAAAGCAGTAAAGAAACCTAGTAGAGAGCAGTAAATAATTGCAATAGAGCAGTAAATAAAAGCAGTAGAGAGCAGTAAATAAACGCAGTATAGAGCAGTAAATAAAAGCAGTAGAGAACAGTAAAGAAACGCAGTAGAGAGCGGTAAAGCAACGCAGTAGAGAGCGGTAAAGAAACGCAGTAGAGAGCGGTAAAGAAATGCAGTAGAGAGCAGTAAAGAAACGCTATAGAGCAGTAAATAAACGCTGTAGAGAGCAGTAAATAAACACAGTATAAAGCAGTAAAGAAACCTAGTAGAGAGCAGTAAATAATTGCAATAGAGCAGTAAATAAAAGCAGTAGAGAGCAGTAAATAAACGCAGTATAGAGCAGTAAATAAAAGCAGTAGAAAACAGTAAAGAAACGCAGTAGAGAGCGGTAAAGCAACGCAGTAGAGAGCGGTAAAGAAACGCAGTAGAGAGCGGTAAAGAAATGCAGTAGAGAGCAGTAAAGAAACGCTATAGAGCAGTAAATAAACGCTGTAGAGAGCAGTAAATAAACGCAGTATAGAGCAGTAAAGAAACCTAGTAGAGAGCAGTAAATAAATGCAATAGATCAGTAAATAAAAGCAGTAGAGAGCAGTAAATAAAAGCAGTAGAGAACAGTAAAGAAACGCAGTAGAGAGCGGTAAAGCAACGCAGTAGATAGCGGTAAAGAAACGCAGTAGAGAGCGGTAAAGAAATGCAGTAGAGAGCAGTAAAGAAACGCTATAGAGCAGTAAATAAACGCAGTAGAGAGCGGTAAAGAAATGCAGTAGAGAGCGGTAAAGAAACGCAAAAGAGCAGTCAATAAGCGCTGTAGAGAGCAGTAAATAAACGCAGTAGAGAGCAGTAAATAAACGCAGTAGAGAACAGTAAATAAACGCAGTAGAGTGTAGTAAATAATCGCAGTAGAGTGTAATAAATAAACTCAGTAGAGAGCAGTAAATAAACGCAGTAGAGGGCAGTAAAGAAACGCAGTAGAGTGTAGTAAATAAATGCAGTAGAGTGTAGCAATTAAACTCAGTAGAGAGCAGTAAATAAATGCCATAAAGAACAGTAAATAAACGCAGTATACAGCAGTAAATAAACGCAGTAGAGAGCAGTAAATAAACGCTGTAGACAGCGGTAAAGAAACGCTGTAGAGAGCGGTAAAGAAATGCAGTAGAGAGCGGTAAAGAAACGCAGTAGAGAGCGGTAAAGAAATGCAGTAGAGAGCAGTAAATAAACGCTGTAGAGAGCGGTAAAGAAATGCACTAGAGAGCAGTAAAGAAACGCTATAGAGCAGTAAATAAACGCTTTAGAGAGCAGTAAATAAACGCAGTATAGAGCAGTAAAGAAACCTAGTAGAGAGCAGTAAATAAATGCAATAGAGCAGTAAATAAAAGCAGTAGAGAGCAGTAAATAAACGCAGTATAGAGCAGTAAATAAAAGCAGTAGAGAGCAGTAAATAAACGCTGTAGAGAGCAGTAAATAAACGCAGTAGAGTGTAGTAAATAATCGCAGTAGAGTGTAATAAATAAACTCAGTAGAGAGCAGTAAATAAACGCAGTAGAGGGCAGTAAAGAAACGCAGTAGAGAGCAGTAAATAAACGCAGTAGAGTGTAGTAAATAAACGGCGTAGAGAGCAGTAAATAAACGCAGTATAGAGCTGTAAAGCAACGCAGTAGAGAGTGGTAAAGAAACGCAATAGAGAGCAGTAAATAAAAGCAGTAGAGAGCAGTAAATAAAAGCAGTAGAGAGCAGTAAATAAAAGCAGTAGAGAGCAGTAAATAAAAGCAGTAGAGAGCAGTAAATAAAAGCAGTAGAGAGCAGTAAATAAATGCAGTAGAGAGCAGTAAGTTGTTGCAGTAGGTTAGTAAGTGCACCAGGTCATTATGACTGATCTGATGTATTGATCTGTGTGTGTGTGTGTGTGTGTGTGTCTGTGCAGAGGGAGGACAGTGATAAAATTGGACCTCTGGCATATTTTCCTCCCAATGGAACCTTCAACCTAATGTACTATCCATACTACGGCAAGAAAGCTCAGGTAACACACTGTAATACACACTGTACACACTGTACACATACTGTACACACACTGTACACACTGTACACACACTGTACACATACTGTACACACACTGTACACACACTGTAATACACACTGTACACACACTGTACACACACTGTACACACTGAGCGCAGTAGATCCATGGCGGAGCATAGATGATGGTACTTTTACTGACTGTGATGTGTTTAATCTCAGGTGAACTACACTCAGCCGCTGGTGGCCGTGAAGTTCCTGAACGCCTCTCTGAACACGGACATCAACGTGGAGTGTAAAATCAACTCCAACACTCTGGCTGAAGGCAGCGAGAGAGACAAGTTCGCTGGACGGGTGTCCTTCAAACTACGAATCAACGACAAATAGACACACACACACTCACACACTCACACACACACACACACACACACACACTCACACACACCGACTCACACTCACTCACACACACACACACAGTAACACACACACTCACTCACACACACACACACGCACTCACACGCACTCATACACACGCACTCACACACACACACACACGCACTCATACGCACTCACACACACACACTTACTTACACACACACTCACACGCACTCACACGCACACACTCACACACGCACTCACACACACACTCACACGCACTCACATGCACACACTCACACACACACTCACACACACACACGTTGAAGCTGCAGTAATCTGGTGTTTCCGTCCTCAATCTGTCCTTTAACGTAGAATCATGTCATGATGCGTTCACTGACCCTCTGAATTGCCAGCTTTAGTTACAGTCTGTTTATTGTGTTTGGTATTTCCTCTGAGCCTCAGTGCAGCTTTAACTCTGACCCTGAAACCGACCAATCAGCACGCACACACGCTCTGATGTCACTGCCACTGAGGAAGGAGTGAAGAACGACAGGCGATCACATCGATGGATGAAGCTAAGACCAAGTTATTGATCGCATAGCACTGTGTTTACTGATGGACGGTTTATGTGTTCTTTTCATTTATTTATTACTTGTTTATTTATTTATTTATTTATTGATTTGGTTATTGATGATGACTCAAAGTCAGCTGAGTTTAGATTACAGGTACGATGAGCTCTGATTGGCTTTTCAGAAACTGGTTTATAGGTCCCTGCACATCCTGGAGAACCTGGAGAAACCTGGAAAACCTGATGTTGTTAATCAGCTCAGCAACTAAAGTACAACTTACAAGAAACCAGTTCAGGAACCAGGACTAGTTCAGATATCAGCTCTTAAACCAGTTCACAAGGAACCAGGACTAGTTCAGATATCAGCTCTTAAACCAGTTCAGGAACCAGGACTAGTTCAGATATCAGCTCTTAAACCAGTTCACAAGGAACCAGGACTAGTTCAGATATCAGCTCTGAAACCAGTTCAGGAACCAGGACTAGTTCAGATATCAGCTCTGAAACCAGTTCAGGAACCAGGACTAGTTCAGATATCAGCTCTGAAACCAGTTCAGGAACCAGGACTAGTTCAGATATCAGCTCTGAAACCAGTTCAGGAACCAGGACTAGTTCAGATATCAGCTCTTAAACCAGTTCAGAAGAACCAGGACTAGTTCAGATATCAGCTCTTAAACCAGTTCACAAAGAACCAGGACTAGTTCAGATATCAGCTCTTAAACCAGTTCAGGAACCAGGACTAGTTCCGATATCAGCTCTTAAACCAGTTCAGGAACCAGGACTAGTTCAGATATCAGCTCTTAAACCAGTTCACAAAGAACCAGGACTAGTTCAGATATCAGCTCTTAAACCAGTTCAGGAACCAGGACTAGTTCAGATATCAGCTCTTAAACCAGTTCAGGAACCAGGACTAGTTCAGATATCAGCTCTTAAACCAGTTCACAAGGAACCAGGACTAGTTCAGATATCAGCTCTTAAACCAGTTCAGGAACCAGGACTAGTTCAGATATCAGCTCTGAAACCAGTTCAGGAACCAGGACTAGTTCAGATATCAGCTCTGAAACCAGTTCAGGAACCAGGACTAGTTCAGATATCAGCTCTGAAACCAGTTCAGGAACCAGGACTAGTTCAGATATCAGCTCTTAAACCAATTCAGGAACCAGGACTAGTTCAGATATCAACTCTTAAACCAGTTCAGGAACCAGGACTAGTTCAGATATCAGCTCTGAAACCAGTTCAGGAACCAGGACTAGTTCAGATATCAGCTCTGAAACCAGTTCAGGAACCAGGACTAGTTCAGATATCAGCTCTTAAACCAGTTCAGGAACCAGGACTAGTTCAGATATCAGCTCTTAAACCAGTTCACAAAGAACCAGGACTAGTTCAGATATCAGCTCTTAAACCAGTTCAGGAACCAGGACTAGTTCAGATATCAGCTCTGAAACCAGTTCAGGAACCAGGACTAGTTCAGATATCAGCTCTGAAACCAGTTCAGGAACCAGGACTAGTTCAGATATCAGCTCTTAAACCAGTTCAGGAACCAGGACTAGTTCAGATATCAGCTCTTAAACCAGTTCAGGAACCAGGACTAGTTCAGATATCAGCTCTGAAACCAATTCAGGAACCAGGACTAGTTCAGATATCAGCTCTTAAACCAGTTCAGGAACCAGGACTAGTTCAGATATCAGCTCTTAAACCAGCTGACTGAACCTACAGCCAATCAGATGCTCGTTAGTTAATTAGATGAATAAGTCATAATAATAAGTTAGTGGAGTTAGTTAACGTGGTAGGAAGTCGTTAATCGTTCCGTGTTTATTTTGTTTACTGTTGATTTGTTTACTTGTTTATTATTGTCATTGTGGGGCTGAGCATGGCAACTGTTACCATGACAACCAGGCACACACCTCACCTTCGTCTTCCTTTAAAGAGTGACCGGCCAATCAGAAGGTCCCGCTGTATGATGTCATATGATATTTGTCATTGGTTGATTTCTCCTGCCTGAAAATGTCCTTGTGTTTAACAACAAATAAAAACAAAGAAACAAAAACTGCTGTCTGTGGTTACAAGTTAATAAGCAGTTAATGAGAACTCTGCTGACTCATTCCCGGTTTACTTCCTGCTCTGTGTACACTGTTTGGTGCTGTAGCTCTGTCAGTGAACGCTAAATATACATTAGTTTTACTCGTTACAGCGGTTATTTACCCGCTTAACATTTAAACGTAGACTAGTTCTACCTAAGCACTCGGAGTTTCTCCCTCTTTTAGCGACTTTTCACTATTTTCAAAAGTTTTCACACATGCTAGCTTCATTAGCATTAGCAGTTAGCTATGGCTTCTCCCTCTGTCCTGCTCAGTGTGTCAGATGTTCAGTAATGCTGCGATCCATTTGTCTCGCAAACCCCCCGCCCGAGTTTGAAAGTGTAAATCTCGCAGCTATCTCGCAACATTTCACCGAGACACCCCCCCTTTTGGTCGTCATATCAGCCGTCCCACTCGGGGCTCCTCAGAGTGCACCGAGCTAAATGAGGGTGAACGTACCACTCGCAAAACAAAGATGGCTGCGCCCGTATTGAGAGGTATTTTCTTTGTACTACGTTGGTCGTTTTAATGTCGATTTCAAATGCTCCTACACACTGTTTACATTACTGCTTTAGTCCGGTCACCAATTTATGCAATTCAATTCAATTCAATTCAATTCAATTCAGTTCAATTTTATTTGTTTAGCACCAATTCATAACAGAAGTTATCTCAGGACACTTTTCAAATAGAGCAGGTCTAGACCGAACTCTTTATAACATTATTTACAGAGACCCAACAGTACCACCATGAGCAAGACCTTGGAGACAAGGGCAAGGAAAAACTGCCTGTTAAAAGAAAGAAACCTAGGACAGATCCTCCGGCTCTAGGTGGGTGGTCGTCTGTCTCGACCAGTTGGGGTGAGAGAGAGAGAGAGAGACAGACAGACAGACAGACAGGTGCACAGCAACAACAGTATTGGTAATGGCAATCTAGCAGGACCATGGCAGGAGGCTCCACCAGGATCGATAAGAACCTGCGAGACGAGAAAGCACAAGAACTCCGGGGAAGAAGTGAAGTTAGTAACATGCATTAATGGAACATGAACGAGTGCAGAAAGACTAAAAGCGACTACTTTCTCCAGAATCTTAGAGAGGAAGGGGAGGTTAGAAATCGGTCTATAGTTGGCTAAAACCCCTGGGTCAAGAGTGGACTTTTTAAGAAGGGGTTTAATTACAGCTACTTTAAAGGACTGTGGTACATATCCTGATAATAAAGAAAGATTAATCATATCCAGTAAAGAAGTGCCAATTAAGGGAACAACTTCTTTAAGCAGCCTAGTTGGGATCGGGTCTAATAGACAGGTTGATGGCTTCGATGAAGAAATGATTGAAGTTAACTGATGAAGATCGATAGCAGAAAAACAGTCTAAATATATATCTAAGTTTAAATTCTTTTTACATTTATGCATTGCACGGTGTTGCTGTGCGTGCAATACAATGTAAAGTCTTGTTTTTTTAGCTGGTTTGCTAAATAGGCTAATGTAGCTAACAATAACACTAGCCTGCCATTGCCACTGGAGGCCCCTGGAGGCTCCTGGTGGCCCCTGGTGGCCCCTGGAGGCCCCTGGTGGCCCCTGGTGGCTCCTGGAGGCCCCTGGAAGCCCCTGGTGGCTCGAGAAAAACGCCACAGCACTTGTTGACATTGAAATAGGCGAAATATTGAAATGTAAGACTTGTAATAACGGAATTACTTGAAATGTTAGTGTTTGTGTAGAAAAACATTATTATTTCACATTGAGCTTGTTTAGATGAGCCACAAGCAATAACAACACAGCTGCTGCACTTCTTTCCGACTTGTAATGCCCAAAGACAAATGGAACGCTATAAGTGGTACAAACCAGGCAACTACGTTACGTTCTCGCGTCAGAGCAACTCAGGCGGGGGATTTACGAGACAAATGGATAGCACCATTATTCCTCTGCCTCCTTTAGTGATAATGGTACATGTATTAAGTGTAGTTTATTTACTGTGCTGGAGGCGAGGCTTAGTGAGTTAGAGGAACGGTACCGCACCACAGAGATATCTTTAGCTGCCATAGTTAGTCAGCCCCCAGTAGCCGGTGCGGTCCGACCGAAGGTAGCTTCTGTTAGCCGTCCCACGGTAGTTCCCCCGTAGATCCCGAGCAGCCGGGAAGACAGGGAGAGTGGGTGACTGAACGGAGGAAGACTAAAACACTGAAGCCCACAGTTCACCACCAACCCATTCATGTTTCTAATACATTTTCCCCACTCAGCGACACACCCACTGAGGAACCAACTCTGGTTTTTGGCAGCTCCATAGTCAGAAACGAGAAGTTAGTGAAGCCAGCGGCCATAGTTAAATGTATCCCTGGGGCCAGAGCGGGCGACATTGAATCAAATTTAAAACTGCTGACTAAAGGTAATCGTAAATATAATAAGATTGTTATTCACGTCGGCAGTAATGACACCCGTTTACGCCAATCGGAGGTCACTAAGATTAATGTGGAGTCGGTGTGTAATTATGCTAAAACTATGTCGGACTCTGGACCCCTGCCCAATGTGACCAGTGATGACATGTATAGCCGCATGTCGTCATTCCACCGCTGGCTGTCGAGGTGGTGTCCAGCAAACGATGTGGGCTTCATTGATAACTGGAAGCCTTTTTGGGGAAAACCTGGTCTGATTAGGAGAGACGGCATCCATCCCACTTTGGATGGAGCGGCTCTCTTATCTAGAAATATGGCGAAATTTATTTCTAAAACCTGACAGTCCAGAGTTGGGACCAGGAAGCAGAGCTGCTGTCTTACACACTTCTCTGCTCTTTCTTTAGAACAGTCACCCACCCAAAACCCCATAGAGACTGTGTCTGTCCCCCGACCACCTAAATTATTTAAAGAAATGAAAACAAGAGGAGTTCAACATAAAAATCTAATAAAAATTAAAACTAACTCCTCAGTAGCACAAAATAAGAGAATGAAATGTGGACTGTTAAATATCAGGTCTCTGTCCTCTAAAGCTGTTTTAGTGAATGAATTAATATCAGATTATGATATTGATTTACTTTGTCTTACTGAGACCTGGTTGTCCCACGAGGCGTATGTTAGCCTAAATGAATCCACCCCCCCAGTCATATTAATACTCACATTCCTCGAGGCACTGGCCGAGGAGGTGGAGTGGCAGCCATATATGATTCGAGCGTTTTAATGGGCCCTAAACCAAAACTAAATTATAATTCATTTGAAAACCTTGTTTTAGACCCAATCCCAACTAGGCTGCTTAAAGAAGTTGTTCCCTTAATTGGCACTTCTTTACTGGATATGATTAATCTTTCTTTATTATCAGGATATGTACCACAGTCCTTTAAAGTAGCTGTAATTAAACCCCTTCTTAAAAAGTCCACTCTTGACCCAGGGGTTTTAGCCAACTATAGACCGATTTCTAACCTCCCCTTCCTCTCTAAGATTCTGGAGAAAGTAGTCACCAAAGAGTTGTGTGACTTTCTACATAACAATAGTTTATTTGAGGATTTTCAGTCAGGATTTAGAGTTCATCATAGCACAGAGACAGCTCTGGTTAAAGTTAATAATGACCTTCTGACTGCTTCTGACAATGGACTTGTCTCTGTACTTGTATTATTAGATCTTAGTGCTGCATTTGACACCATTGACCATGATATTCTTTTACAGAGACTTGAGCATCAAATTGGCATTAAAGGAACCGCACTAAGCTGGTTTAAGTCATACTTATCAGATCGTTCTCAGTTTGTACATGTTAACGATGAATCCTCCATAAATACTAAAGTTAGTCATGGAGTTCCACAAGGTTCTGTACTTGGACCAATACTATATACTTTATATATGCTCCCTTTAGGCAACATTATTAGGAATCACTCCATTAGCTTTCACTATTATGCAGATGATACGCTGTTATATCTATCAATCAAACCCAATGAAATTAATCAATTATCTAAATTACAAACATGTCCTTAGAGACTCATTGTCTAAAGGTATAGTCACTCTAGATGGCATTAACTTGGCCTCTAGCACCACTGTCAGGAATCTTGGAGTTATCTTTGATCAGGATTTGTCATTTAACTCCCACATAAAGCAGACCTCTAGGACCGCCTTCTTTCATTTACGTAATATTAGAAAAATTAGACACATCCTATCACAGACAGATGCAGAAAAACTAATCCATGCATTTGTTACTCCAAGGCTGGATTACTGCAACTCTTTATTATCAGGTTGCCCCAATAAGTCCATTAAAACGCTCCAATTAATTCAGAACGCTGCAGCACGAGTACTGACAGGAACTAGAAAAAGAGATCACATCTCTCCTGTACTAGCTACTCTGCATTGGCTCCCTATAAAATGTTGAATTGAATTTAAAATCCTCCTCCTCACCTATAAAGCTCTTCATGGTCAGGCCCCTTCATATCTTAAAGAGCTCATAGTACCCTATTACCCCACTAGAACATTACGTTCTCTGAATGCAGGGCTACTTGTGGTTCCTATAGTCTCTAAAAGTAGAACAGGAGCCAGAGCCTTCAGTTACCAAGCTCCTCTCCTGTGGAACCAGCTTCCAGTTGTGGTTCGGGAGGCAGACACCCTCACCACATTCAAGAGTAGGCTTAAGACATTCCTCTTTGATAAAGCTTATAGTTAGGGCTGGATCAGGTGAGTCCTGAACCATCCCTTAGTTATGCTGCTATAGGCCTAGACTATCGGGGGATTTCCCATGGTGCACTGAGCTCCTCTCTTCCTCTCTCTTTCTGCACTCATTCATGTTCCATTAATGCATGTTACTAACTTCACTTCTTCCCCGGAGTTCTTGTGCTTTCTCGTCTCACAGGTTCTTATCGATCCTGGTGGAGCCTCCTGCCATGGTCCCGCTTGACTGCCATTGCCAATACTGTTGTTGCTGTGCACCTGTCTGTCTGTCTGTCTCTCACTCTCTCTGCCTCTCTCTCTCTCTCTCTCTCTCTCTCTCTCTTACCCCAACTGGTCGAGA